TCGATTCTGATTATTTGTTAATACAACATGTTCATATCTAACAATGCTATAATTCATAAAAATTATATTACTTCCGGTGGCCGTTCAGATTTGACATTTTGCCACAAGGTGGCCTTATGTAGTCTTATAAACGAACGCATTTTAAACTTTGATTTCTCACAATTCGTTACTTTAACATGGTGCTGACGATATGATTACATAATTAGTATATGTGTGTATAAAAACATGTAGACCAGATAGGTGCGTTTAGACATTTTACGAAATATGGAAAACATGTTTTTTTTATTTTTCTTGTGACCGAAAGCTGGCTGTCGCAGCAGATAGAAAACATTAAAGAAATTTTTTAATTCTGGTATTAATTTTCCACCGCCTCCTCTAACCCGGAAAAACCCCGTATAGCCTAAAAGGCAAGAGAGGGGAGGAGGAAAAAAGGGAACCATTAAAACCAATAATTTAAAAATTATTAATTTTTATTTTAGTTGTAATAAAAATAAAAAAGCGAATTAGTTTCAGTTTTGAAAAAATATATACGTATTTTTTTTTTGGACACGGGGCCTTAAATAGCTTAATAAACAACAATAATTTCCTTCAATTTTACATGCTTTAATTCTTTGATTCCTCTTAAAACATGTTTTATTAATAAAATATTAATAACATTTCAAAATTATTAAGCTATTTTTAAAAGTTCGTAAAGGTGGTTATTTTTTTCAATTAATTATTCAATTAATATTACATCGTTCTCTCATGGACCTATATTTCCACAAAACAAAACATAAATAAAACTACAGTAATTAACCCTTATTTCTAAATTTGAACAACGAATCACATAATAGAATATTTGATTTAAAAAAACCACCTGGCACTCATGAGAAATAAATAAAATGCTTATGTTTTTGATGTTTAAAAAATCGCGTCATTCTACCATTCTGTTTAGAAGTTCAGCACCAACTGAAAATAAACATTTGACAACTTAAGTTAAAATAAAAATTGCAATGCGTAACCACTAGTGGATCCAGGATTTAATTTTGGGGACTTCAGCCCAAAAGATTTATATTTTTGATATTTAGAGAGCTTTAAATTTTTGATACCGTAGGACATGGAATAAGGTTTTTTTTTTTTTTGTTTAAACTGTCCATGTATCATAATATTGTATTGTAATAGAATAGAGAGTCTATTCTTTGTTGCAAATAATACGTATTTTTTCTTTTAGATGTTGATCACGCAAAGTTAAAAACATGATTCGATTAGTTTTATTAAAAAAAAAACAACTAAAGAAGGAAATAAAACCTGTTTATTGATAATTTATGTAACCAACTTTTCCTACTTCGGAATATTACTATAAATTCTTTGAATATAATTAAATAGAGAATGTAATGTTTTTGCACGGTTCGTTTAATGGAGACCAACTCTCCTCAAGGTGACTGCCATCCAAACATAATAATTCAATAGAGCAAACGTTAATTGCTTAATGACGCACAATAATGTGTATGATTCCCCCCACAGCTATTTAGACTAATAAGTCATAAGGAATTTTCGTGTTTGCCCTCGTCAGTAATGACGTCAACCTGGGTTATGAGCACCATTTCCAGATTACATTCTGTTATATTTGGCTGAATAGAACTCCTTCATTTACTGAAATATTACCAGAAATTATTAAAATCGTTTCTACGGGTATAAATTTATATTATTGTTGTTTATTAGATAAACAACTTGTCTTTTAAAAATATACATTCAAATGCTTATTATTAAAAACATGTTAGAAATATTTTTAAAAAAATAAATGATAGTTAAAATGATTAGGTATCTGACTCAGCATGAAGAATTTTTTTATTCATTTCTTTCAGTTTTAATAGAGCAAGTCAAAAACTCAGCGCTGATTCCATCGAAGGAATCCATCGTTTGAATGCAGCATCGAGTTTAGGAACGACTTACTAGATTCTAGCGGAAAGTTAGCAATCACGGAAATTACAAAATACAATTGAAAAATAAAGAAATATTTATCTAGTGAATTGTTGAATTTCAAAACAGGAATATATATTGAAACAAAGTAAACTGGATATAAATATGTAAAGTAAATTGATAAATAACAATGTCGAGATTATAATGTTACATTTATTGGACTTTTAGGATGGATGGAACAGCTGAACTATGGTGATTCAGTTGATTAATAAAGGAAGGTTTGGTAAAAAGTATAATGAGAACTTATCCTGATTGAAATATTTAGCTCAGATCACTCAAAGAAAGATATGGAAAAAAAAACAAAAAGATACAAGTGAAAAAAAATATTTAGATATTAATACATTTTTTTTTCTATTTTTATTTTTGAAGGGAGGGAGGGGGTGAAGAGAGCTCAGTCCGAAATTTAACCCCTTGAATCTGCTAGTGGTGATGTCTATTTCATAAATTGCATTGGAAACATCAGACCAACCGTTTTAGTAACATAAGTTCTAATTAAATAGACTCTAATATTTGATAACTTTCATTTTCAAAAACATTTTATTACTTCATCGTAAATTATAACTTATGCTATTGAATCAGGGGTGCCCAGAAGGGGGTTTCATGTCGCAAGTTGCGCCATCAAAAATTTTGAGGGGGCATATTTCTATTGAATTTTGAATTTTTGAGGGAGATGGGGCACATTTTGATGGGATTATGAATTTTTATAATGAAAAGTTTAATGAAAAACAAAACGACAAAGAAAAGCATGGAATATACTGCAGGAAGTGCAATAGTATTTAATATACAATTTTTCTAATTCTACTTTTGCTTGCACTGGTTTTAAGAAGAAGTAAGCAATAAAATATTTTGGGAGAATCAATCTACCTTGGGAGTGATGGATAGCCCTGTATAAAATTATCTTTATTCATTCATATTAAATATTATATTTTGCATTCATTACTTTTTCTTTGATGATTAATATAATATTAATTAGCCGAATTTTGGATACTTCAATTGTTTAAAGTTATTTTGTATGGAATTTCTTATATGAGTAATTGGTCGAGGGCTGTGGTCAAATAAATACTAAATTGTTAAGTTAGTATTTTAATCATTATTAATTGTATTTAATACTATTTTAACAATTTAGTTTTTATTTGACCGTACACCCCGACCAACTCCTAATTTTATATCACGGTCAACTATCTCTACACCATTAAGAATTTCTTATAGAAATTCTAATCATGGAAGGTATGTTTATCTTTCAGCTACTATCATGATTCATTTGACTGTTTACCCCAAATGAATCTTGAGGCCATTCCAAAACTGATAAATCTATTTTTAAACACTACACAAATCAGACTTATTTCATTTGCCGAACCTAGGACTGAATTTGCAACAGTATTTAGCAATATTTTTATTTTGTTCATAATTTTTTTAATAACAAAAAGAAACATTACCTTGATATTTGAGTGAAAACATATTAGCTCATTTGAGAAAATTAAACTTTATAAACTATGTACAAAAGATATTGGTCTTAAAAAGTTTTTTCATTAACAATGGATCATTTAAAGTAATAAAGTTCAAAATACAAAGTGATTTTTTTTAATAAAGAATTTTCAAATTTCTCATCAGTTTCAATTTTTTTTTCTTTAGTTCTTACCTTGATAATTGATTTTACTTCTGTTTACATATACCAATAAAAGAGCAATATCTTTTTCCTTTTTTTTCTAATTCTTAGCACTTCAATAAATCAATAATTCAAGATAAAATACATGTATGTATTTCCTATTTATGAATTTTTAAATTGTCGTATAATAAAATTAAACTTTTAATTCTGTATTGAAATATATCTTATTTGTTCACAAGAACTCTGAAATAATAAAAAAAATAGGATAATATTCTTTATTAGATTTTTTTTTTTATACATTCAGCTGAAAAATACCCAATTATATTAAACTTATTTGCAATGCAGAAATATTTTTTAAAATAATCCATTAGCTATTAATTACAATAATATATATATATTTGTTTCTAAAAAGCTAAACTAAAACTAAAACTCTAAAAAAGTAAAACACATAATAAAAAGTATAATAAAACCCTTGTATTTACCTGTCTTCTCCAATCTTTTTTTTCTTAGAAAGATTTATGAAATTGAGTTTGGAAATACCAGCAATGAAATCCATGCTACATATGTGTATATATTATAGTAAATATATATTTTTATATTAATACAAATGTTTTGGTTTAATCAATTATCTTTAAACTGTCACCACTTGAAGAACTACCTATGTTTCAAGTTGGCACATTCCTTGTAAGGGATATTTTCATGTTCTCCCATCCAGAATATGACCTCAATTTAATGATTATTTCGTGAGAAGCTAAAATTTTGTAACAGGATTTAAATGTGAATACAATGAATAGCATTCTGAGTGCCCTTGTTATTATATTAAATCGTTGAACTATTGAAATAACGACTTTCTAAAATATATATGTTCTTTGATTTTATAATCTTAATATATTTAATCAAATGTGAAGTATTATTAACTAATTTGACAGTGAAATTATAAAAGAAATAATTTAAAAAAATTAATTATTCAAATTAGCATTCCGTAAGCCTGTCTATGAATGTTATTTATTTTGAAATCATTTTCTTGAGATAATACTTTCAACTGACTTGAAGTTGTCCTAACATCATTAATTAGAAGATTAGTTAAATCATTTTTCAATAACTCATCGTAGTTCTTTCATCTCTGTGGTGAAATGGGAACATAGTGAATCGAATTTCCATTCATCGTATCGATATACGTACCCAGAAAATGTTTTAATACTTCAACGGATTACGAGGTCATTTGTTATTTGTTTTTATTATTTGACTTAGTAAATGTTTTCAAGTTTAAGTGTGTGTTCAGAATGTGGGCATTTGACTTATTTACAGTTAATGGATATTAGCTTCGATTAGAATATGTTTTATCATTTTGATTGTTTCTGATATATTTTGATTAACTTTTAATCGATGGATCGTCGAAATATAAAGCAAATGTGTTATTTTTAATAAATAATTTTGTTTTCAGCGATATTATGTAAAACCGTGCTAATCGATATATCAGTGCATACACGATCAAAGAGGCTTTTGATTTGAGGTTGCAGTAAAATAGTTGGATTGTAGAAGGGGAATTGGAAGTGGTTTGACTTATCAGGGGCAGGTATGATAATGAAGTTTTTGTATTTATATTTACAAATGTATAGTAGTTATTGCATTTAAAATTAATATGCTCAACTATAAGCTTCAAAGACATATTGTTCTTTCAAATTCCCCACTACTCACTAACTGTCATCTTATCAACCATTAAAAATTTTCTCTTATTTCGTTATGTTGAAATATTTTCCTTGTTTAAGAACTACCTGTTTTGCAACAATTGTTCTTTGTTTAACTTGTTTAATTGTGAATATTCTTGATCTAAGAGTTGTTACACCATTACCACTCCAGTCCTATTTTAAGTAGTTTATGTTAGTTTGATTGAATTGTTTGTTGATAACAATTTTTTTAAAATTATGTTTCAAAATGCTGATTTGTTTTAATACTTTTGAATTAAAAGTTAAAACTCTTTAATTCGGTTCTTATTTAATTTTTTGACATAATTTTGTTCTATTCTTCATTTTATTCATTATCAATGTATCTGTAACTTAGTGTTCAGTTCATTAATTGTGGCTGAATTAAAATTGATTTTATATTTATATGTTGTTTTGAATTAAATAAGTTCTTGTGTTTAACTTAATCTTGGGTCATATTGATGTGTCAAGTTCTTTTCATAAACTTTTGTGCTTTATTTGCCTTAAAATGGCCTGACCTTAAAATATAACCTTCTGCTTAATGTCATATACCACAATCCATTAAGTAGTTTCAATTGATCAAACATTATTTAAAGGTAAAATCTTACATGCTTGTATTACTAATATTAATTGTTCTACTAAATACTACTTATTATTAAATACTTGTTTTATTTGTTAATTATTTTATTGTTTTACAGGGATGGTGTTGGTAATGGAAGAGCCCCTGGTGACTTCAGCACCGATCATTGATATATCTACTTTAAAATCATGGGGCGATACGAGCCCTATACAATTTCCTACAAGCTACAATATTAACTCAAGTCTTGAAACTAGTCCTTACCCAGTAAACAAGGCACTTAACAAAAAGATTATATTTTGGTAAAGCAATGTTATTTAATTATTTTTTATTCCAGGAAATAATAGTAGATTAACATCCTATATAAATGGATTCACTAATGAGTGTTAATGTTTATACTTTCAGGGAAGGAGATATTACTCAACTTCGCGTAGACGCGATTGTACATTCTACAAATGAAAATTTTTCTGATCACTGCCCTTTAAGTAACAGAATATTTACAAAAGCTGGCCATGGGCTCAAGCAAGAAATTTATGATGATATAAAAGGTTCGTATAAACAATTGAATTTTGCTTTTATTATAAATCTCCAATATTAAACTAGTTTAGTTAGAATGTTTTTAATGGTTTATTGTGATAACGTTTTAATTGATAATATTATCATAGTATTATTTCTGGATGACAGGTGGGCCAAGATCACATAATCACACTATTAATGGGAATTGAATAGACATAGATCACATAACATTGTAGGATGTTAGTTATAATTCTATGAAGTTGAAAACGTTTGTAAACTTCTCTATTTTACTCTGTCCTATAACAATATGATCATTATTTTTCTTCAACCTTGATCATTTTAATTATTAATTTATGGTGCACTATCATGCTACATTATCTGTATTTTTATCACTTTTATTTTAATTGCATTCCTAATTTCATAGTTATTCAAAGTTACTTTCTGTAATATTTTGAAAATGTATAAGGAGTCAGGATTATCATCGGTTGAAAACATAAAAATTGTGTTTATTTCTACATAAAGGGTTTAATAACTTAAGCATGAGTTAATGGTTTGTAATGCAGGTGATCCTTATTATCATTGGTCACAATTATACAGGTGATCCTTATTATCATTGGTCACAATAATATACTTTAGGTATAAGTTATTTATATTTATTAATTGGAAAATTTAGAGATCAGCCACTCTGCTAGTTTTGGCATTCTCTGTATTGTGTGATCTTGGCCTTACTGTCAATCTAATGTGAAATTACTATAATAATTCAAAAAAAGTACTCGATTTTAAACCTTTTCACTGTAGATTTCATTAAATGAAAGTTTATGAACAGTGATAGCCGAATAATGGTTTTTGGTTTTAATTTGATGTTTTATATGTTGTCGTAGTTATTGTATACACTAAATATATTTTTGCAGAATGTAGAACTGGTGAAGTTGTGGTTTCAAAAGCTTATAGGCTTCCTGCTAAACTTATTATTCACACTGTTGGCCCTAAATATAATCCAAAATTTCAATCAGCTGCAGAAAACACTCTTCATAACTGCTACAGGTAAAATATAAACATTATATTTTAAAATATGTTTTATTATATTAAATTAGCGAATTATAGGAATCCTTTAAAATATGATAGTTTTTCAATAAAAAATATTGTTTACATATTGTTTAATTAAATGGTCAATGGTTGACCGAAACCTCGTTAGATTTAATTGATCTTGATAAGGATTTGAAACCTTGAGAAGGATAAGAATCTTAAACATCCTTCATCTTCCATTACAATCATTTCATCATAGCCATTCCATAACTATGATTATAATAATAAATATTATTATTTTTCATTGGGTGACATATTTTTTATGTTGAAATTAGTTAACTTTTTTTTCCATCGCTAAAATAGTAAATAAAGATATTTCCTTCCGATTGCTATTGTGTTTTTCAGCTTTTTAAACATAATTTAGACAAATTTTTTTCGATCCAAACAGTTCAATAGTACAATAGTTCTAATTAATATTTTTGTATTTTTTAAATTACTTTTTTCTCCTATCTAATCCTATTTTAATTAATTATACTAATTATATTCATAGAAAAAGGCCTTTTCAGTCTCGATAAATAATTACTTTATTTCAAATTCATCCAAATTTTTGCCTCTTCAGGGATAATCTGATTTTATATGTAATTTAAATTTTCATTCGCTTTTAGCAGTGCACCCACTTGCACATTTAGTCAAAGAACACAACCGAATTTGGTGCACTGCTATAAGCGGATGAAAATTTAAATTACATGCAAAATCAGATTATGCCTTAAGAGGTGAAAATTTGGATAAATTTGAAATAAAGTAATTATTCATCGAGATTGAAAAGGCCTTTTTTTACTAATACTTAATATAGTCTCTTTCCCAAGATCATCTTTTATGAATTACTAATTATATTAGATAGGACTTTAGTTGAATTTAAGAACGATAAAAATAATATTATTTTCATATTTGAGACATTTTCAATATGTTGTTTACCTTTTCAAAGTGTAAGAAAACAAATTACTGATTTGTTATAACGGTTGCTGATTGATATTAAAAAGATCATTTTTCAATTTCCTGTGATCTATGAATTTCTTCATCATCATATTCTGTTTAATAATATTTTATAAGAAATGTGTCATAGTTATGCAAAACATTTGTTATATTTTATTTTTAAAAAGTTTCATTTTCCAAATTTTTTAAAGTTATCATTTTTCCTTTCATTACATTAAATGATAGTTTAAAGTTTATTTAATTATATATTGTCACGAATTCACACTACACAAATTTGATATTTTTAGTAAGGCTTGATCCAATTTTAATTTTAAAAATTGATATTTGTAAATGAGGATATCCTCTTCTAAAAATCTTTAGTCGGTTTCTCCTATCTCCTGCAAACAGAACGGAAGAAAGACATTATTGTCATTTAGAGTTATATCTGTGCCATGTCTATCTTTAAAGATTATTTTCCCAATTCCAAATAAAAATATTTACAATTTAAATGTTATTAATTGGCTTTTTTTGGAGGTAATAGGTGGTTAAATTTATTTCTTAAAAAAAAAAAATACCATTTTGTTATTAACTATTAATTTGGTTTGAAAGAGGTTAATTGTCTGGTGAATGGTTTAATAGATTGGTGAATATTTTATATAATTGAGTATTATTACGTTTAACATCTGATACTTATTCATTGATAACAAAAAAAAGCTCAAATAAAGTTTTACCAGAAGCTTGGAATCACAAATGTCATCCACCTTTAACCAATCTATTATGACCTCTAAAGGTCGTGCATTTAACCCAGTTCCTCGACATATTAATTTTTAAGTTACATTCTATTGTTAATTTATGTTTTTCTATACATCTTAACATAATGTGCAAATATATTTTGTCAGAATTTAAAAAAAAAAAAAAAAACTATGAATTTCATCCTATGAGTAATTTATTTCTAAAGTGAATATTAATCATCATTGACTAATTTTCGGGAAAAGCAAAAAACTATATTTCTTATTCCAGTTGTAATATCAAATAAAATATCAAAACCAATATTTAAAAAAAATAAATTAAGAAAGTCTCTATTTGTAGCAGATATTTCCAAAAATCACTGATTATTTCAATAGTAATTAAATAAAAAAATATTGAAACATAAATAAGGCTCTTTTTGGAAAGAATTGAACTTTAGGGCTCCTTTTTGAATAAAAAAAGGGAGATACAAAATAGTACATAATTCCGGGGGGAAAAGTTATGAAAATTATGTTTTTGTTTACAATAAGGATTCTATTAAATACATTATTTTTGAAAGAATACTTAAGAAATGCAATTAAAAAAAAAAAAAAACATTTTCGAAATTAAACTTATTTTCACACCACTTTATTTAATATATTTCTTTTAATAGGTTTTTTTTTTTTTAAATAAAAATTAACCATCGGATTAATTGCTTGTTTTTTTCATGGAATTCAATACTTATCTCAATTTCCATTGAAATCGATTAGGATTCATTTTGGAAATACATATTTCACAAATTATGAGCTACACAAATATTTAAAGGTTTTTCCAGATGCTAGTGTTTTTTTTTGTTTTTTTTTCCATCTGCTGTTAGGAACAAGAGACATAGAAACCAAGTTGGGCTTAGCGCTAATGTCGCTATTAGTTAAGTTAGATAATTCTGTTTCTCATAGTTTATGAAATGCCTACGCAACTCCATCTAACTTCAACATGGGAATCACAAGTTATGAATATTTTGGGTGGTAGAGGTTAGCTTTTATAATTTTGGGATACTGATGACTTGAATCAAGTATTTATATTTTGGAAGTATTTATTTAATTTTAATATATTTAAATAAATAAATAATAATAAAATAAATAAACCATCACTGGTCCACAAGTTTTACTTATACAGAAAATTTACACATTTTTGTGATAATTTACTGCTTATCATTGTATTTGATGGATCTGCAACTATATTAGTTGTTAGTTTCCATTTCTATGAATTTAATATTTCATCAGTCCACCTTTTTTATTGTTGTTGTTTTTTTTGTGTCCTCTCCTTCCTTGCCTTTAAGGCTATATGAGAGTTTTCCAGGCCAGAGGGTGTGGGCGGAGATTTAAAAGACTCCCCCGCCACCGCGACCAAGAACTCTTGACTACTTTAAATCCTTTGTCTCATAGATCAGGTTGCCGGGCGACGGTGGTGCTGTGCTCACACGTTAGCCCGTTCGGCCACCCCACTCTGTTCATCAGTCCACCTATAAACAAAATAAAAAATTATTCAATTTCTGTAGAGATTGTTATTCTGATTTTATAATGGTAACAATCAAATTATTACCTCCTTCCGTTGTATGTTTTTTTTTTTAATTTTGGAGCATAATTGAACATTCCTGATGAACTTATTTAAATCAGCAAAAAAAAATTTAATAACCTTCCCCCTTTTTCTGTAATCATATCTAACAAAACAGAAGGTTGATAATATTTGTTGTTATAGCTGCGCACTGTAAGCCTGAGGAATAAGAGAACCCTAATAAATATCACTCAAAAAATAATTTAATAATTTAAAATACAAACCACTATAGAAATAACTCTATCCATTTTAAGGTTATGTATATGCATGTGTACTTAAACACACTGGTAGATTGTTAGTTAAAATGACATCAATGAATATTTAAACTTGGTTTAGTGCCTGTTACCATTCACAATCGATCAGTGTATCTAAGTAGGGTGGATAGGGTTTTCGCCATAGTCCGTTTTATTTTTTATATATTAAATTTTTTTTTTTTTTTAACGCCTTTAATTTTATAAATATGGACTATTTACATTTATATTCATCACCTATAGTCATGAACTTATGAATGATATGATACAAAACCAACAAAAAGTTTGAGAATATTTAAATTATAATAAATTATTATTTCCAGTATTTTGAGTTAAAATTGTTTAATTCAGCCATTCACCTTGAAACATTGTTACATACCTTTTAAGGGACAGCTTAAACTCACAACTAATTGTTTTAAAAAATTCATGTGAGATAACTCATACTGCCGTCTATGGTAGAAGTAGGAGACTTGAGATCGCATGTGGCCTCCGTGACGTAGCTGCAGCCTCGGAGGTTGCATGCGGCTTCCATACGTTTTTGCGCATTCTTTATTAATCAAGCACTAGAATTAATTAATGTTTAATTATTCTGGTTACCAACATTTGAAAATCAATAGAATTAAGTTGAACATATGTATATGGGTGTGTATTTACTTATAAATAAATAGCAACAGTAAAATATAAACTATTATTACGGTCTCCATTATTAGCAATGCCTAACCTTACTGTGTCCTCCTAATGATAAAAAGTTTCTCCTCCTATGGTCTATTGTATTACTTGAAATAATAGTAATAATTTTTAACTATTTTTTATTAAATTATTGTTTTCATTTCAGAAATATCTTGCAAAAAGCCTATGAGTTGAAATTGAGATCTTTGGCAATAAGTGTGGTCAATTCCGTTAGGAGAAACTATCCTCCCGATGAAGGAGCCCACACTGCACTAAGTAATAATATTTATTATATTTAATATAATAACAAATATTATAATATATCCCTATTATTATAGTTGTTGTTTTTTTCACTTCAAATAACTATCCATACCTGTCATGATATTGACATAGGCATGAGAATTAAGGTTGAACTACATCTATTACATTTTTAAAAAAATTGAGCTTTGATTTTTTTTTAATTTAAGTTTATTTGATAATTATAAACAAAATCGTATAATATAAGTTGAAATAACCTTAAGTGGTTTATTGAATTGTATATTTCGTTAATAATTTTACCATGTAAGCAATGAAACTGTCGTGGGCTGGACTGAAGGAGTTAGCAGGTCACAGTTTGAAGACCCCTGGTTTAATACAAAACTTATTTATCAATTTTATTTATGGAAAATTAGACTGAGCAGTCTATCAACTGCTTCCTGCAGTGCCTGACGCAACGCCCTGATGAAGACCTGCAAGATGGGTCGAAACGTCGACAAAACAATTAAAAATACTAATTTATAAAATTTAATATTTTTTTACCACACTCCCCCCCACCAACTCCTCATATTATATCACGGTCAACCATCTCTACATCATTATGAATTAATAAGCATATTTATTTATATTTCAGTCTCGTTATTTTACTTTTTTCCATATACTTATCGTAATATGAATTTCACTTGTTAATTCAGGAACAATAAGGAGGATATTGGAGTATCAGGAGAGCAAAGGTGACTGCCATTTAGAATATGTTGTCCTGGCTGTTGAGAGTTGCGACGCCGGGATCTACGAAGTATTGCTTCCTTTGTACTTTCCACGTTCGAACAAAGAAGAAGAAGCTGCCTTATTACAGTTACCGACTGGAAGAAACTATGGTCCGTTTGGCGAACCTATATTTCCAGATCGGCAAATACGCATAATAGACAATCCTCATCATCATATAAATGGTAAATATAACTGTTTATAATTAATTACTAGTAAAGTAAACTCTCATTACAATGAGTTCAAAGTAAATAGAAATTCATTAATTTGTTAAAACCAAGTTTGTTATATCTAAATAAATAAAAAATAGAGTAGATTGATAGTGTAGATTATTTTATTTTAATTATTTATTAAATAAAAAGACAATAAGTATAATACTTTGTCTATTAAAACCTTTACTGATCTCACATGTATTAATTATATTGTTATTTTTTATCGTGATCAATAATTTTGACATTTCAATGCGTGCTTCTCAGCAGTGTTCTCTTTTTCTTTTTTTTGTTATACGGCTCCACTAAGATAAGATATTAGTAATTTAATTAATGAGTGATATCGTTTTTTTTGTTTTGTTTTTTTATACTTTTTAACCAAATAAGAAAATACTATAAACGTGGACACTGAACGTTTCTTTACTCACCATTCTCCCAACTGCTTCCAGCAGTGCTAGATGGAATCCCCTGAACAAGACCTACAACTTAGGTCGAAACTTTGTAAAATATAATAAAACATACTATTTATACTATCATATAGTATTATATTATATATTGTCTGCGCTCCCGACCAACTTCTCATATTATAATTACAGTCAACTATCTCCACACTCCATAATCAATAAACCATTCTCATTAAACCATTATCAAGACAGTTAATATAAATAAGAGGGAGATAAATAATTATTGAGTTCTTTAATACTTAAATAAATATAAATTTCTGGCAAAATAGGATTTTGTCTAAAATCTTAATGCCAAACAAAAAAAAAAAAATTATTAAGTTGAAGATACTTGAAAAATTTGCTATCTAAGGTGTCATGAATTCTGGCAATAAGATGAAATACGGAAGGTTACTTATAATGTGCCTTTCTGTTTTATCGCAATAAAGTTATTTGTCATTAAGGGACAAAAAGTAGTTCGTGGTTTGTATTAATGGAATTAGTTCATTAAAACGAAGGTGTATTAGGAAAATCAATGTATTTTTCTAAGGAGGCTCGATTTTGGTTCGCTTTAACATAAGGCGTTCGTTGTATCAGAGTTCATAGTAACGAGCGTTTACTGTAATTCTTTTATTACTTTTACTTTCCTATATATGAAATATATAGTATTGGGATTTTGAAAAATTTAGATATCTAATTTTCAATGAAAATACACGTTTTTTTTAAATTTGTGTTGGTATTTTTCTGCGCTTTAATTTTAATAGCGGTTTTTCTAGAATTTTTTAATTTTTCAGATTTTTCACTTTGCAATGAGATTTTTAAAAATATTTTTTACTTACTGACTGAGTAGCGCCAAGAGGTGTATCTTGGCTTCTTTTACAGTGTTCCTCGTTTCTTTTCACTCTCTCTCTCTCTCTCTCTCTCTCTCTCCATCTCCATATGTCGAATAGTATTTTAATATATTTTAAATCAAAAACATTCTGCTCCTAAACCAGATTCAATTTCCTAAGAATTAATTATGTTCTTTCGCTATTATAAAATATTTTCAATGAATAATATTTTTCATTCACACATTATAAAATTATGAATCCAAATAGAATATATTTCTGGCAGATATTTTTTATTCAGTATTTAAATGTTGATCTTTTTAAAGAATAATTGAATATTCATGTAAAAAGGTTTTGTAGCATTATTATTCACCTCGGAATATTGCCACAATCTTATGCCGCAATTAATAAATTATTTTTCTACCCATTCTTAATTTATTATATCATTCATATATATCTATTGTTAGGTTATGTTTCCTTTCAAAAGTAAAGAAACAATTTTAGACTACAAATTATTTCTCAGGTTGTGTTGAGACAATAAACACACATTTCTCGACTATATAATCTAAAAGCGTACATTAATTTTCTATGAATTTCCATTCATTTTGTCGGGTCTACTTTTGTCGCTTTGTAATTGTCACTATTTATATTGCACTCAACCTGGTCCGCAGTGAATCTTCCTCTGTATTGATGCTGCAGGCTTTACTGTGTTAAACTACAATGTCTTTTAATCTTCTATTTTCTTGTCTTCGTCTAGACACTCACTACTTGTTGGTCACGTGTCACGGTCTCCTTGGGTCTCTATGATCTTTCCTTGTCGGCTGGTCACTCTCTCTCCTAACATATTGAACTTGCTTCCCCTTCCATCAGTCTTTCTATGCTTCTTTGTCCACTTTTGACAGTAGATCGTGATGTCACTGCTTTCACGCTACTATTTAAGGTCACTATTTAATTAGTCTCCTATATTATAATGCCATTTGATTAATCAAGTTTGTCAAATTGAAAGACTTGGAATTTCCCAGAACTGATTTCTCAGAATTGTACTCTTTGACTTTGTTAATGACCCATCTAGATGATATACAGATCGAATGAAATTATAATAATTTTGGCCTATCAATAGTGTATAAGACATGTTAAATTATATCTTGCTTAATATATCGACAGCCACACTGCAAAATCCTGTAAGTATAAAAACTAAAAATTTTCAGGAGACAAAACAAACTTCATAATTTTTGTTTTATGAACATTATATTTTCTTTTTTATTGTATTTCTGCCAAATAATATTTTAGAGCTATTTTCATAACTTACAAAAATTATGCTACTTCTAACTTACAGCTTTTTACTTATTTTGAAAAACAGGTATTTATATTTTTAGGTAAAAGCAAATTTATTATAATAACATCCATAACTTTGTTTATAATGATCGAATCATGACAGAAACTAAGTCAGATTCCAAAATGTTGAGAAATGATACTTCAAACGAAAATTGTTAAAACATCTGACTGGAAAGCGAGTATTTGATGACACGGGTTATTCACTTTTTTTGTCTATGAAAGTTTCGTTTTTAACGTACTCAACTTCATATGGACATGGCTTGATTCACGAATACAAGATAAGTTCTAGGTAATCGGCTGGTGTGTGGATCACTTTGTTTCTGTATTTACAAAAGGCCATAGAGAAGGATGGAAACGTAGATTTCATTTTGTGGGATCATAATATGCTTAAATATAAATTAATCTGGAGTTTTTTTTTTTTAATTTTAACCGTTTATTCAAACTGAAATTAAAATATAAATAAATTTTATTGTAAACAAAAAGTCCATTTTTGATATTACAATTTTGATAACTGTTCCTCCCCCTGAATCGTTCACTATTTCTAACCCAATCAACTTTTTTTTGTTTAAAAACGGGCCTTGAAGTTTGTTTCTTTCCAAAATTCAAGTTTCAATGTTTTTTAATTACTACTTAAATAATCAGTGATTTTCAGAAATATATTATAGTAATAAAGAATTCCTTAATTTATTATTTAAAAAATATTGGTTTCGATATTACAATTGGAATAGAAAATAAAGTTGTTTTTTTTCTTCTTAAAAATTATTAATAATGATTAGGGTTCGCTTTCATTTCAATTATAACCTAGTAAAGAATTGTAAGCAATGTTTGCGGGAAAAATAAACACAATTTCATAAATCAAATAATTACCAGTAAATTAATAATGATTATGATATTCATGATCAGAACTTATTGTTATAATGAGGATTATTATTTTTAAAAAAATTAAATTATTTCTGATCTGTTATTAAATATAAAAGTTATTCCTCAATCATTTTAAGTATTAGCTATTTTGAGAAGTGCTTAGATGTTGTATTTACAAAATTTAACAGCCTAGAAGGAAGCCCACACAGACACCCACACATATTTGTATGTATATTAGAGAGTTGATTGGATAATCTGATGTGTGTGTATATGTTTGTTTTGTTCCTGTTTGTGAAATGAAGTTTTAAAAATGAATAAATGTATGTAATAAATCTATGAATATTTGTTTTTTATCTAATTTTGAGCATGAAAACTGAAAGTTATCTAATATATAGTGATAATAATATTATTATTTATTTTACATTTGTTTATTAGCATATTAGTATTTATTTATGAAAGATAGCGGCATTGAAATTTTATAAAATGAATAATTAATAATATGACAATGAAACCTGCAAGAACTGCAATGAAAACTAGATGTAATCAATCTATTTTAACTATGAAACTTGCAAAAATGTACAAGTTTTCTTTTTCTACCTGAAATATTTTTTTAAAAAATCTAAAATGTGAAACTTTTTATATTGAACCCAGTAGAATAGTATTAGATTTATTCTTTCAAAATTTTCAGAAATTAAGTAAACTTATAATAAATTAACTATTCCATCTAGGTTTGATTGAAAAAAAAATTGAAATTAGTCAACAAAAAATGTTTATTTTTATTAAATATTTCAGGAAGTTTCTTTCTAAATTATCGGAATCACCCAGTTTTTGGCCAGGATCTGAGAATCATTCTCATTTGTTTACGTTGTCAGTAGATTTTTTTGTCTTAGACGAGGAGTCTCCAAACTACGGCCAGCCAGCACTTCCAGCCCAACTCGCGAAAGTTTCCTTGATAATTAAAAAATATGAAATTTAACAAATTACTGATACAAGAGGTTACTACAATGCTTATTATAAGTTTTTTTTTTCTCTTTGAAAGCTCTTTCACAACTGAAGTCTCATTTATAGAACAAGGTATTTTTAGATATTTTATCACGAGCTTTGGCCCGCGGGACTTAGATAGAGTTCTCAATACGGAACTCATGAAACTCTTGGCCCATGAACCAAAATGTTTGGAGACCCTTGTATTACATTATATTAAATTGCGATATTTTAACTTTTAAAAATCTAAACAACACGTGATAAGTCTAGTAGGTTTATACCTGGATTATGATTCATCTCAAAAAACATTATGTTTTTAAAATAAATTATGTACTTTAAAACAGTGAGGTCCAGTATGTTTCAAAGAGTGTGAAATACATTTTTAAATCCCTGAAACAAAATTTATCCCATCTCATTCCGTCCACTTATCATTATCATAGTTTTGAAACCTAATTTTTTCAATGACTTAGATTAAATTTAAGAATCAAAATTGAGATTTGTTATTTCTTGAAATTCCCTTTCTTTTGGCATCTCATTTGTTAAAATCGATTGCTCCTGAAACAAAAAACTGGAATTATAAAACTGTATAATGTCAATTTTTAACAATTTAACATCCATATTTTTAAAATTATTATTTTAAATGCTAATAATTTGTTTTGGTTACAAAACAAAAAAAAATTGCCTTAACACATTCCTAACAAATACCAAATACTAATAATCTTAAATTTTAGTTCTTATTCTGTCAAAACTAAAGAATGACATTTTATTATGCCATTATTTGTAATTTGTAGGTAGATTTTTCAATTTTTTTTTCTAAAGATAAACAAAAGATAAGTTGGTTATAACTGATTAAAAATATATGAGTGGCTTCATATCAATGTGTCATTTTTAAAAAGTTGTGAAAAAAGCCAGTTTTTGTTACATAGCTTTAATTTAAACCAGATCTAATGATTTGTTTTCATGATTTAGCTAAAACATTCTTAAATAAAATCATCGGAAACAGTTTGAATTGAACCTATAAAACGAAAATTGCCTTTTACTCCCCTTTATGATAATGACATATGTTCATCCTTGATACGAGGCCACTCGTATTTCTAAGAATGGAAAACATAAGAAAAATTGCATATTTTCAATATGGATTACATATTATTGAATAATTTTTATGTAATATTGATATGTGGTATATTTTGTGTCTATATAATTTGATTTTTATTGTATAGTTATTATGTAATAACTTTGTAATTTTAATAATACTTTTGTGTCTATAGCCCCTCCTAAATTAGATGGTCAACAGGTCGAAGAAAGAAATACCCAAAATATACTAAGTGAGTTCTGTGCAGTTTTCTTCCTGGTTATTTTGTAAATTAGTTGAATTCACTTTGATTAAGATATAAGATGGTGTGTATGTTTGTGCCATTAACATTTTTTATATTAGCGTATGAAATCGAAACACAGTACATTATTGTTCAAATTGATATTGACAAATGTAGATTTGGTCAGTAACAATTTGTTAATTAATCAAATTATACTCCTTTGGTTTCTTTTTGCTTCTCTCGTCGATTAACTAGCTCCGTTATAATTTTCTCCTAAATAATGTTGATAAAATGATCAAAATAAAATTTAGTATAGCTACGCTGAGGGCTGTTGTGTGGGTTGAGTGAAGAGGGATATATATGAAATATTTTATATTTTTGAGAGTATTGATTTTTTTTTCTGCATTCCACAGTATCCACACAATACATTCCTTTTCATCTCCGTTTAGAACTTTATACATAAAGAGCTTTGAAGAATAAGTTGTTCCAATTATTCCAAATAAAAGCATTTGCCTTTATTGAAAAAAGAGCAACTGAACTCAACAAGGAGCTTCATGGAGGGCCTTGGTGTCGACATAAAGGTCATGGCAAGGTTGGCGGAGAATATAATCCTTGACTCCCTGGGAATTATCCATCACCATGTGCATGGATAGAGAGAGAGTTTGTTCATGGGGGAGGCATCTGTGTTTTACAGCATTTTTACATTATTTATTGACCACATCAACTGTACATTATCTATTTGTATGCATTTTATGAATTAGGTTAGGAAGAGAGGAGAAAATCTAGAGAATGAGAAAAATGTATAAGGGGAGAGAAGGAACAGAAAGGGATGTATAATGCTAATAAATGAATGAAAGAAATAGTATAAAAAAAATAAATAAATAAATAAAAATATTTGAAAAAATATTATAATAAAATATATATATATATATATATATAGAGATTTAAAAAAAAAATTGTATAGTATGCTCATACATATTGTTAATACTATATAATTGTATATTAGTTTTGGAAAATTGTCTGTAGCAATTAATAAGTATGCTGTGTTTAAAGCAACCCAATGTAATTGGGCAGCACCCTTTTATGATAATAAAGTAGTGATTCTCTCTCTTCTCTCTATTACATTATATATTTATTTGGAGGCTGGGGTAGCCTTGCGGGGTAAGGCCCTTGCAATAGGTAATCAAAGTTAAGCAGCGCCGAGAGTGGTTAGCACTTGGATGGGTGACTATCCACTAAGGAAAGCCACGCTGCCCAAGATTCTTTCTCTCCCCCCACCTGGGTATGTGAGGGTCGTTAGCCTATTGGAGGCAACTCACACCGACCGGGTGTAGAATTGATGATCCTACTCCGTACTTTAAATCGGGAATTGGGATATGGTCTAGGACACCACACTTGCGGTCAAAGATCTTCATGGTCTGTAGCGCCTACCAAAAAAAAAATATATATATATATATTTATTTATCGTATCTAACTTCAGTTATCAGGTTGCTGGGCAACGCGCAGTGCTGTACACATGCCTTAGCCCACTCGTCCCCGAGGATTTCTGTCTGTAGTATTTGTAACTGCAATATAATAGGTTCTTATAGAGAATTTTTTTTAGCGCTTCTCTCTCTAAATTCACTATCTGGATCTTCCCCTGATAACAAGAGATTCAAAATTGATTGGCTGTTGGTCGAAAGTAATGCAAAGGTTACAGCTATTTAAAATTTTGCTTATGGCACCTACAAACCGTGCCCAAGTTTCATTAATTTTTTTTTTCTTCTTAAGAGGAAAGTTCACGTTTAATAATAAAGAGAGTTAGTGATAGTTTTACCTTGGCATATTACAACAATGCCTTAAAAATATATATTTTGTTATCAGTGAATTAAAAAGATTTATACGCTTATGAAAGCCAACAGAATTTGTTTTTTTGATCAATTAACAAATTGTTATTGTATCCATTCTGGTTTTATTATTGTTGCTGATATTATTAAAAGTGACATTCGGTTAATTCTGAAAGGTTTGCTTTTCACAGGTTATTGTTTGATCACGTACTTGTTCTAGTCACAGTGTACCATATATATATTTGAAGCTTCTTACATTTTTTGAAATTATTTTTCACTATGCAACTGCTTTATAACGGTGACAAACCTACATTTATTTTTTTTTTCTATTCGATCGAATAATGCAGTGCTTTCAGCATGAATATAATATCACAGTTTTAGTTGTCTCTCTTCTCTTTCACTTCTGTTTATTCCATAAAATTAAGTTTTCTGAAGAATAGCGAACAATATTTGTTAAACATTCTAAAGGAAATCACTGTATTGCCACAGCACCCTAATACTTGCTTTAACGTTATACCAAGCACTTCATTTTTATGTATAACATAGTTCACTGTAAAATGGTTTTATGTCTTACTAAAAATAATTGTTATTAATTGTTTGTGAATTATTCTAAATATACCCGTGGCTTTAACTGTTTGTGTCTGCTTATATATGCGATACAGAAGCTTTATTAAATGGAAATAGTAAATTATGCTTTGTTTTATAAATAAATAAAACCTTTTGTTTATTATTATTATTAATTTTTATTTACGTTTATTTGTACTTAAATTAATATTTTAAAAAAGTTAATTAAGTAATAATTACACTCACTGGTTGAAAGTTGTAGATGGAAGAATTATAAGTTTATTTTTTTAGTTACAAATTAGTAATTTAATAATATAGCCATGTCTATTCAAGAGACATGACCAACCCAGCGTAACCTCATAATCTTAATATATATATAATTGGTAATTAGTTGACTGTCGTGGATAATGAAGAGAAGAATAGTTGGGGTGGTCAGTCAAAAAGGAAGGCAAAAATAAATATTAACATTTATTTTCGCCTTCCTTTTTGACTGATCACCCCAACTATTCTTCTCTTCCTTAATATATATATATATATATTCACGTCCATGTCGTTATAAGGCTCCTGAAGCTCACGATTTTTTCTTCTTAACAAGATAGCACTGTCTTAAACTGGCCCAAAGATTTCAGTTTGGATCCTCCTCTCAAATATCAGAAGTTTTCCTTCATCTGTGTTGACGATAGCACAAGCTTCTGTGCTTGATGTCAACATTGGACGTATCAGCATCTTGTAAAGATATAGTTTCTTTTTATTGTTTAGATATTTATTTCGTAGGTTAAAGAAGTATTGAATTTTGAAAGTTGAAAATCCTTACAAAATAAAAAAAAAAATCATACCTGCATCTGCAAAAAGAATTTTTGACAGGTTTACATAGAAATTTGTTTACTTTTATTTTTTTTATTTTTAACATCTCTTTTTTTATAATTTTTTAAAGTTCAATTTTATGAAAGATATTTAAATTTCCTAGAAAAAAATAGTCTGGTCAAATTATATTTAGCAAAGTTATGGTGTATTGAAATTTTATACACCTATTTCAAAGGTACCTATGGTTACCATATCCGTTCACTTTTAGTTTCTCCAATTACTCATATCATTAACATTTTAGATGCTTATTTGAGACATGTTTAAATTGTCTTTAAATCCTAACTTAAAAGTTATTATGATGTAAAAAAAATAAATTAATAAAAATAAGATAAATTGAGAGAACCAGTTCTAGATTGTTATTATATTTATATAATATATTAATCTAATATGTAGTATTATATTTACATAATACTATATTTATATTGATTTATTGAGATTTTCAATATATGGAAAGTCAAATGTTCAGAGATTTGCCTAATTGCATTTATTATGTAGAAATATGTACTATAATTTTAACTAAAGGGAAAAGAAAAATAAGAAGTTCAAATAGTTTGTTTTTCCTAATATTTTTGCCCCCATTTCAGTTATGTTGATAAAAATAATCACCTAGATTAGAGCACCCAGATTGAACAGGCATTGATTGTCTTGAACTACCAAATCATACTTTTAATCATGTCGGCACTGTTTATTCGTGCCTATTAATCTAGGAAGTCAGATTTATGTTTTGTGCATTGAAAATTAAAACTGTATTGCTCCTGCTGGTTAAAATAATTAGTATTACTGATATTATCATTTATGACTCAAAAATGGATGAAGTTATTTTTTTCATTTTTGCATTCGCCATCTAGAAATATTTATAATTCAAGAAAAAATTTACATGGTAAGTGATTGTCATCAGCTATTTTGTTTTGTGCATGGGATTGGGGTAGCTCAGTGGTAGGGTACTGAACTTGCAATGCTAAAGGTCCCAGGTTCGAATCCCGGCTCATGGCAGAAAAATTATTTATTCTGTTTCATTGGCCGTGGGACGACCTTAGGTAGGTAGACCCTCCTGGGGCACACGCAGCCTCTATAAAGTGGGTACCCTTAGTTAAAAATAATTAATAAAGGGGAAAAACCTTCCGGTTGAGTGTGATCTCTGTCAAATCTCCTCCTTGTGCAACCGCGTAGCTTTCCCTGAATAGTACTGAGCCCAAGACCCTTCATGGGTTGTAGTGGTACAGTTTCTTTTTTTTTTTTTTTTTTTGTATTGTGTCTCCTTTTTTAATGTCAATTGGTTATTAGCATTAAAAAAAAAAAAAGTTGTATCAATTTAGCTGTAATAAAATGCAAGTGATATTTGTAAGAATGTATGTAAGATTAAAACTGCATTTTTAAATAATAAACAAAGGCTCATATATAGCTAAAACATGAAATAACAGTGTTTCTAGGAGAGTGGTGTGGCCGAGTTCATGTATACGGTGGCCAAACATGATACTCCCTACTCCAAGACCAAACTAAACCAAATATTGTATTTTTATTTAGAGGCGCCTGGTTTAGAGAATATTCAACCGAATATTGTATTTTCATTTAGAGCCATCGGGATGGGAGGAAAAGGGGAAAGAATCCTTGGATGGAAGTTTTGAAGCTGATAACACTATTCTAAGCTAAAAACTAGAAGATAATCAACAGTACAGTTATGATGGCATTGGCAGGCCATGACTAATGACATTACTTTCTTGAACCCTAATTATCTTTGAAAATAAACATCAGAAAAATTAGGAACTTTTTGTGTTTTATTGTTATAACCTAATCTTTAACAGCACAGAAAGCTGTGATAGTGAAATTGTCCAATATTCAAAATTGATTGCCATTAATAGTTACTGTTCCGTTGTTATGGGTCATAGCTTGATTTTAAAAAGTTTAAAGCTTTCTTCCACTAATGTATCCTACAAAAAAAAAAAAAAAAATTCAAATCAGATTAACTCTTTAGGTTTATATATTGGTAATGATTACAGATTATTGTTGAGGCAAAGCATTATACATCATTTACCACATTAATTTTTAAATTGGATTAGTATTTTCTGAAATTACCACTGTGATAAACTCAAATATGTTCAAATTTTTAAACAAATCTAAAAATGAAATTTTTATTTACAAAAATTTCACCAAGCTCGTTAACATAGTTTTTTTTTTGTGAAAAAAATTTATGGGGATAGTTAACCCAATTATTTAAAATTTATTTGATAAATTTATATACTTTATAAGTATACTTTCTTTAATCTTTTCTGTGTCTCGTCTGTTTTTTGCAGCACAGTTAATGTATTTTAGTATTAGAGTGCAGATAAAATGGTCGCAGAGAGCACCGGTGCTACTGTTCCACAAGGCCTAGACAATCCAGGCCCAGGTCTGTTAGGATCTCCATAAGTAAATTTCCCACAACAATCTTTTAGTGATCTGACATGAATGTTATTACTTAACTGGAGTCTTACCTCTTGCATTCACTGCCATGTTTTCTAATTATCTTGTATTGTACTAATCGACATCTTCAAAAATGACTGCAGAAGAATTTAGACAACCTATGCGTCTATGTTTGAACAGATAGCGGTGAATCAAATGGGCTTGTAAAATTGTTGGGCTTAGTAACAAAAGAATTCCTGAAAGGTTAATATTTGCTGTACCGAATGGTAAATGTCTGAGGGGTAGACCGAAGCGAAGGTGGGAGGATTGCGTTAGAGCCGATCGATCTGAAAGTGCTGGGTTTGGACGACCAACGATAGAGGAAGGTGTGTAATATGCGATTAGTGGTGTCTGCTTCGAACATTTGGGTTCGCTAAGTCTTTTATTATTATTATTGTGCTTCCAATAAAGCCACCTCCAATAATCAGTGGAAGTTGAGAATATTTGTCTGTGATTAGACAGAGAAGATTGTTAAAATATTCTGTAACAACGTCAGGGGCCTTTGTGAGACTAAATTAGAAAGCTCCTAAATCAAGAGATGTCTACGCATTTCCAGTGAGACAAATAATCTAGTCGGGAGATAATTGCTTAATTCTTATACTTACTTAATTCTTATACTTATTTAATTCTTATACTTACTTAATTCTTATACTTACTTAATTCTTATACTCACTCAGTGATGGGCTCTACAGTCCGAGGTGGAGCTTGGCCTCCTTCACTATCTTTTTCCAACCTCTCTATCTTTCATTCTTATCCTCCAATTTACCTCTCCCATTCTCCCTTCCACGTCACTTTCCCAACATTTTCTCGGTCCTCCTCTTTTCCTTTTTCTGGGAAATTCCTCTCTAAGTATCTTTTTCGTTGCTTTGTCATCTGGCAGTCTTTCCACGTGTCCTAGCCAACTAATTCTTCTAGCTTTAATAAAACATACAATATCGTTCATCCAGCTCCCGATTTGTCCTTATCCTCCTCTCTCGTTGTATACATAGGGGAGCCAAAAACTCGTCTCATGATTTTTCTCTCTAAAATCCTCAGTGCCTTTTGGCCAGCTACATTCAGGGGCCAGGCTTCGGCTCCATAGCACACGACTGGTCGAACCAAGGATTTGTACATTTTGAGTTTTGTGACTCTTAATAGGAGTGTTGATTTGAAAACCTTTAGCATACCAAAGTATGCTCTATTGCCTGCCATGACTCTTCCTCTTATTTCTGGGCTAATCGAGTTTTTACTATTGACCTACACCCCAAGCTACGTGAAACTTTCCACTGTTTCAAAAAAGTATTCCTGAAAAACAAAACCCCTCTGGCTTCCTTCTTGAAACCGAGGTCGAGGCTACAATATATTTTTTGTGTCGTTAACTATTAATCCAACCTTCTTACATTCTACAACCAATGTTGATAGAACCTCAACTATTGCCGCTTTGCTTCTACCTATAATTGCAATGTCATCAGCATATCCCAATATTTGTCTAGTTCGGCATGCTAAATTACCTCCTGGCGTGATCTCTTTAACTGTATTATGTAGCGCCAAGTTAAATAGAATTGATGAGAGTGCGTCTCCCTGCCTTACTCCATAATTAAATTGGAAGATTTTGCTAACCTCATTGCCAATTAATACTTTAGCTTGTGTGTTCAGCATAGTCATTTTAATTAGGTGGATTAGTTTATTATTATTAAGGCTTATTTAAAATCTATAAACAGTATATGCACATCAATATCATGCTCATAACACTTTTCAAGCACTTATCGTAAAATAAAAATCTGATCGCTATTACCTCTGTTAGGCCGAAAACCACACTGGTAATCCGTTATGATTCTTTCTGAATACATTTTTAGTCTTTGTACCAGAAGGTTGAATAAATATCTTATAATTCCTTTAAAAGATTGCAATATCTCCAGAGGTTTTACCTTTTAATTTTTTTTTTAAAGCAGGGCTAGAAAGAATTCATTAAAATTTAGTAGATAATCATTTTGAATGAATAACTATTTTAGATCTCCATTTATATATAATTTTTTCTATATTATTTTCTTTAAAGCCCAAATAGAAACAAATAGCTATATCTTATCTTCTTTTCTCTATATTCTTATTTTTTTATGTTAATTCAGACATGATTTGTTTTATTTGTAAAATTATCCTTCAAATCATTATTAATTTATTTTATTTTTGTACAAGAACTTATTTATTTTCTTAAGGATTCTCTGTAATGTTTATAAACAAAGACAGAATATTCTCTCTCTCCCTCTAATATATATATATATATATATATATATATATATATATATATATATATTCTTTAATCTATTCTAAAAACTGTTATGTTGCATTAGTAGAACCATGCCAATATCAAACTAAAGAAATACAATAAATGTATTTAAGCATATTTAATATTTTTTTTTTTTCTCGGCTCATTAGACGAAAAGAAAAATTTTTTAATTTTAGTGGTTGTTTTCATGTAATAACTATGTTGCTTTTCATAATTACAAATGTGACATATTCAATTGTATTTCAGAATTAATAAAAATAAAATGGATTAATATATATTTAAAAAATGTACAATACATTTATATTATAAATAAGATAATAATTACTGGATTTTAAGTTTATTAATTTTTTAAAATAAATTTTAATAAATATGAAGAATTTCTTACTACTTTATTTTTACTTATAGTAATAAATAAATCTATTAATTATATTTAGTACGGTTTTTTGTTATCAATTTTTAATTTATGTAAACCTATCCTTGAGATTTTAATTTATTTAAATCTATCCTTGATATTGATAGTTATGGGGTAATAAAACATTTATGATTCTTTTTTCAGAGCATAAAAATTGAAGTCTTGATATAGAGAGAAATAATTATTTATTTCAATCTTAGAAATTAATACTAATATTAAAATTTAATTAATAATAAAAAAATTTAAAGATCTTATTCCTGTTATATGAATTATTTTGTTTTATATATTTGTTCATGTTCTGTTTACTATTGTTTGAAGTAACTTTTTTTCATGTTATTTATTATGAAATTGTCCACAATATAAAACGTAATTTTTTTTTTCTTTTCTTTTGTGTTGTGCAAACAATTTAATCTTATCTATCATTTTAATTCCATCTATAAAAACAGAATACTGTCACATTTTCAAAACATAAATCATTCTGTAAGTTTATAAAAAGAAATAGAATTTTTAAAAATGTATTGTTTATTTTCAATATAAGTTTATTGTTTGCTGCTGAGTAAAGATTTTATTTCAAAGTTACATATTGTTATGTTTGTTTTTTAAGATATATTTAGTTGTTTTTTTTTTCTTCTTTAAAGTGAGTTGTTAACCCTAATTTATAACATCTTATTAAGAGAATTCCCTTTTAATGGCTGTAAAAAGGAACTTGTCATTATGCAAATTGACACAAGATTCAAGGCCAGTGTCTTTGTGTGTTTCTCTGAGCTAGTGTAGAGAACTGCAGGTTATCTTCATGTGTTTCACTGTTAGCACATCATAAATATCTGTCATCACTTTGTAAACAATATATATATAAGGGTATGATGTTATTTTTAAATTTATTTAATTCAAGTTCTCGATTAGATAAAACAATAAAGAAAAAGAAACAAAAAAATCTATCTTAAAATTATATTTTATCATTGTTATCAATCTTGTTCAAGTTTTTATTTGTTTTTTTAAAGAATAATTTGCATATTTCTCATTATTATCAGATTCAGTTATTGTGTTCAGTAGATAACATTTATGAAACTAGTTTCAATCAGAATAACAATTTAAGTCTCCTTTCAAACACAAATAATTTTCATAACCTTTATATAATTGCTAGTGGTAATAAATCAATGAAATAAAATGGATTTAAAATATTTTTATATACCATAGATCGTGAAGTAGCCATCTTTGACTGAAGCCTTACCGATTCCTTGTCCAATTACACTTTATTTAATAATGCCTTTAGCGTTTTAATCCTACTTAACTTGGTACAGTTGTTATTTTCTTCATTTAGAACTTAGAAATTGCAAGTGATTTTTCTCTTTGTTCCAATCCTATTGTTTACTAAGTTCATCATAACTGTTCCGTTGTTATGTTTGTTATTTTTATACTGATGGCGAAAGATTTGTTTAAGTTTTATATTGGATGTCTTTTGTGACATGATATGTTTATGACAGTTAGCTTTACTTTTTAAAATTATATTGTGTATCATCGATTATTCATCACCAACTTGAAAGTTTATACAAAATTTAATATGAATAAGAAGGTTGCCGAAGAGATGCAATCTCTTTTATCTAAAAAACAAATGTATTTAATAGGTAAATATTTAATGTTTAAATTTAATATATAAACAGTTTATATTTATATTAGGCTTTTTATTTATTTTTTTTTTACAATGTTTCATAAATTAAACAATTTCTTTGGATATTTGTAATTTATTAACTTTTAAAGTGAAAGATATTAAGTATTACAATATTTAAGCTAATACAATTTGGAGATTTTTTTGTTTATTTACATTGTTTAAACTAACTTCTTGAAGTTTTATTACATTTCAGCACATTCTGTTGAAATATATCAATTATCTTAATAATTATATTAAATTTTCTTTCTTTTTTTTTCCTCTCCATAGAATGTATTATATTTTCTTTTGTTGTGGCTTTTATTCTTTTTAGATTGTATTTACCTTCAATTTTCCTGAATTGACTCATTGTGACTTGCGTGATAATGACTAACGATGTAAGACGTTTGTTCTTTTACAGAAGATGACTGTTCTGTGATTGACCTCTCTAGTCATTTTGATGTAATGGGCGACACTTCGTTCACGCATATGCAAGGGGACCTGGATCAACAGAGGCTGCTGGGCGAGAGGCACGTCCCGCCGACTATAGATCCGTTCATCGCCAAGCAAATTCACAATCAAGAAAGGTGAATACCATATTTTTTAATTTATTTATTAAAAAATAATATTATGAGGCTAATATCCCCCTATCACCCTTAAAAAAAAGATAGTATTTCCAATATGGGAATCTTAACTGTTATCTCTGTTATTATTCAACACATTGATCCTCTTTTATTTTCTGGTACGATTCGATTCAGGCAGGTACTGAGCTGAGTGGGATTCTCTTATCTGTGATATCTAAAGACCCCAGTCGTAAGCAGTGCTTCTACCTCTGTTCAATAACTTTTGTATATCTATATTCAATCAATTTGCTAATAAGAACCTCATTAATATATATCTTTTAAAATCTATTACAAAAAAAAACATTAATTTTAAAAAAAACTTAGACATTTCTAAAAAGCTTTTATTGCAAAAGCCTAATATTAATGTGACAGCTAACTGATAAGGAAAAATGTCTATCAATCATTTACTCATGTTATTTCCAATTATTTTCTGCTGTTATTTATTGCATCATTGTTAAAAAATTCATTTTTTTAATTAAAATTTTCATTTTGGTTTGATTTTATTTTATTGTACAGATATTGTATTTTATTTATATTATTGATCTCAGGTTCTATGTCTTGGTCATTTGAACATTATAATATATTAGAGAAATCGTTTAGAAAATAATTAATTTTCTTTATCAAAAAATATTTGTCACAGATTGATTATTTGACAAATATTAAAGTGATATCGTATGTTCCAGAAATTCAATCATTTAATAATAATCCTCCTAGTAAATTCTTAAAACATTTTAAGCTTATGTTATTTATGCTAATATTAAAACAATTTATCCTAGCTTAAAAACTCTTAATTATATACCCAAATATACTTTTACTCATCCATGATATAATTGCAGTGTTAATAATATATTTACTATATTTATAATACATATATATATATATATATATATATATATATATATATATATATATAGATATGTAAATCTTGAACTATATTTTGAACCTAAATACATTGTGTACACTTACCATGTACCTAAGAGGAACATGATGTCTTCATGAGATTTTAAAAGCTGACGACTATCTTTTCTCAAGCATTAATGGAGATTTAATTGTGCTCATCTTTCTTGATTTCCTGAAAATTTATAAAATACATGTTCACTTGAATTTTCATGAAAAATTTTATATAAGTGATTCAATAAAGAATATATAATTCATCAACGAATAACAATATAAAATACATGTCAGTCTAGCTACCATTTTTATTGCTATCTATTTATCTTCTATATTGTTAATAAATCTTATTCACTTTTAATTATTTGGTATTTATCTTATTTTTGTTGCTGTAATATGTACATTGATTCACTCACATGTTATATTTTACCAATAATTACATTAATCTATTAAAATGTATACATACCAATATTTTAATAATTATAATGTTTTTTGTTGAAATTCACTAAACTTATTAATTTTTTTAAATATTTTCTAAATGCCTTAATGAACATTTTACCATATTCTTGTTATAATTACCATACTAAGCCATGCCTCCTCTATCTTGCTATGTTTAGTATTATTTTTAACACAGTACATTTGTAATTAAGTTTTACATCAGAACTTTATAATATATATGTAAAATAATTAACTATGTTGCCATGGTCACATCGTGTCTGTGTGTAATTTACGATGAAATCAGTACAAAGAACCACTAAAGGAAAAACATTATAATCGAGAACAATTTTCTGTTGATGAGTTGTTGATAACGATTAAATTGAATCCATTCACCGAAATTGAGGCTTCTTGACTTGTCACTCTAAAAGATAGTGCAGAATGTTGAAGAAGGATTAGAGTCAATGTTTAAGTTGGGTATAGTGATCAAGGAATTGGAATAATCACGGGTTTTGCAGGTCATATTTAGCCATGTTATACAGCGCGTCTTCAGACAGGAAAAACCGAGGCCACAATGATCGAGTGAGTTAAAGCATTGCCCATTATAATCATTCGCAGTGGCACAGGCCTGGGCGGGTTAAAATTTATTTCGTGGCAGGCTCACGGAATGAATCTCGACCTTTCAACTCCGGTTAGTTGATATACAGATTAATAGGGTTAGTTGTAACTTTAGATATTTATTGCTTCACTTTTTTTTTACTTCCATTAATCAAGGATGGCAGGGAATTTTATTTAAGACAGAGAAAAGTCAGAGAATTTGACTGCCAGATTCTAATTTATAGTGGGCGGTGTGGCCTAACAGGCTAATATGTGTGTAAAATATGCATTACCTGGCAACCTTGATGGTTAAGGCTCGTAATCAAAGATTACGAGTTCAAATCCCAGTTTCAGGGAGACTTTTAACTGTGGCATAATTCCTCCACCCTCACCCCTTGATCAGGAAAAATCTCGTGTAGTCTAAAATGCGAAGAAGGGGAGGAAAAACGAAATAGCTAATATAGATCTCAAATTAAATGTCCAAGGATTTTTTCTCTCAGGAATCAATCAGAGAAGAGAATACAATAAAAATACTTACATTAGATAGTACTTCCTTCTCTATCTCATTCGTCAGGAGCTGTAGGATGGATGAAGTGACTCTGCTGTAAGGTGGGCCTGTATTAATGGTATGTTTTCAATATTATCACGCAGGATATACAAAGCAAAAAAAGACAAAGTATAGTGGAATAGAAAACTTTAAAGGTAAAATTCAATCAATTATCAATTTATTGAAGTGCAAACCATTAATTTAACTTACAAAAGAAAATAGAAGACCTCTACAGTTAGTATACCTTCATAAGTATAGAAGATGAAATAAAAACCTATCATTTCAAACACTAAAATCTATAACTATTAAACTTAAGTACCTATTAGTAAACTTAATCTATCATTTAAACAACAAAATTAAACTTCCAAACTAAAATATTACTAATATGATTTCTAAATTTGATAGTTTTGAAGTGACTGTAGACTAATCTAGTAGAAAGGTTGAACCAATATGGACGCTTTTGCTTCGACCTATAGAAAAGAAGGTACTTTATGTCTCTAATGTCTCTTATCAAGTCTCTATCTCGGCAGGCTATTCTTGATTCACATTGGACATTCAGTGTTACCCATGAGTCAATGGAGTAATATTCTAATGTGCCTTGAAGTGATTCCCATCATGCTTTTAACAGATGTTCTACTTGCAATAGTGGAAAGGGCATATTAGGATATATTAAAAGATGCAAATTTTCTTAAATATTAACAAAACACAGTCAATTTGCTATAAAAACATTTCCTAATTAATATACATTACAATATATAATAATAAATGCAGAGAGATCTTGCATTGAAATTTATGTCAGAATCACTTTTAAATAATGATAGCTCACTCTTCAACTTAATCAGAGTAAAACAGAATAAGTAATCAGTTCTCTGTGACATTTAGTTACTAGGGATTTCCTTATTATTAACAATTGTATAATATAAGTTTTTTTTTTAATTACCTAAACAATTAAGTTTTTATAGACTTAATTTTGTTGTAGATACTTGGATATACACGTTAGTTTTAAAATGTGAAATCACTTTTAAGATTCCTGTCCCCAGTGCTTGATGGCCCACAACGCGGGAGCAGTTCTCGGCTCTATTACAAGTTCCTCTTTTCTCGATTTCATTTTTACTGAGAAATATAAAAATCTTGAACTACACTACAAAGATAATATAATATTTACAAATAACAAGGTGTCCGGCAGCCTTAAATTTCTTAAAGATTGAAAATAATGTTTGAAAAATGGTTAGTCTTCGGTGATTTTTAGTTTTTAGTCTAATAATATAATTTTTTGGTTAGTATATACTAGTATATAAAATATTGAGAAGAGGGTTGTGGTACTTGGTTAAATTAGAATCTATTTATGTTTTATCGAAATAAAATGAGCTCATACTCCACTGTATAATGAATATAACCACGCCCTGAAGATGATCCACCTGTTTGGGTTGAAACGTTAGCATAAATAAAAAATTTAAATTATTTAAAAAAAATACTGTTTCCTGAATATTTATCTCTCAGAATATAAACATAAATTATGTTTATATCTATATATTTGTTGTGAAAAAATACTTCCATAGTAATGTCTTTTTATTAAAAAAAAATCCATTCTCAAATTTTCAAATCCATGTTTTAAATACCTCCATCATTAGAATTCTAACTTTTTCACTACATTTAATAATATGACCATGTAGATTCATAGTGCAGTTTTAATGCACTATTGCAGTTCTGATGATATCTGTTGAATACTGCAATTAAATTTTTTTTAATTTAATTAGTTTTTTTTAGTTTTATAAATTATATTATACGGTTTAAACATGGCTGCGAGACTTAGATAAAGATCTTCTACAGGATAACTGGAGCCCTCTGGGATCAGAGCATTCTATACTTTCGACCTTGTTTAAGTTTAATTCAATAAATTTACAAAAAGTTTATAAACCATAAAAGTTTAAGTTTACAGTTCTCAGCCTTAAAATCATTGAATTATGCTATTATTTGTTCACGTCATCTCACTGGACATCCCTAACAACAGCAGCCAACTAAGTAATTATAATAACCTACCTGATAAACTACCATCAGTTTATTCTACACTAATATTGATAAGATTACTGTACACATTAAGTGATGTTCTCTATTTGAAATAGGAATCAGGGATACAAACAACAGAGCCTACACCTTGTCAACGTTGCTTGTTGATAAGCACTAACACAAGTACCAATATATTGCCGTCATTTAGTTATACTAGCCTGTACATATCTTTAGGATTGAATACTTTTGCTCCACCTTAACCAGGTCAAGATGTTTCTACATAGTCAATTTTACATGACCTGTCCCAGACTATGATCTAATAGTTTGTTTCCCAATGACCCAGGGAAAAGAATGGATAACCAACATACTTTATCTGGAGGATATCCAGGAAACAATCTCCATGGAATATGAGAGGATATTATCCCTTTTGGCAAATAATGTACATCTTTCCTACATTTTTTTTTTTTTTTTTTTTGTTCCAAGAAACTGAA